TCTATGACCCAGGAAGGGGTCCTCCCAGACACCACATCTGCCGGTGCCTGGATCACGGACCTCCAGCCTCCAGGGCTGTGAGACACAAACTCCTGTGGTCCATAAGCCACCGGGTGGTGATGCTTTGTTACAGCAGCCCGAATGGACTAAGAGAGGCCTCTTTCCTTCTCTTGCCACCTTCACTTGAGAAACAAACTTCAACCAGCTGGGGGGGCTTCTAGTAGCGAGTGTGCTGGTCAGCAGGTTGTGGTTGTAGGCTCGATCGCTTGAGTTAACCGAACCTCTTTGACAGGCGGTGTGTATTTTGGCAAGAGAAGGGGAAAAGCCAGTTCCTTCCCTGGACTGGCACTGGATCCTCCAGGAGTATGTCTGAAAGTCGGCTGCAACGCTAAGAGGGAACTAGGACCCAGTGTAAAGTCAGTGACAGAGACAGAGGCAGCCTGAGGGTAGACTAGGGGTCCAGCACCTAAAGAAGTGACCCCACAATACTATGGGTTCTTTGCTCAACCCTCCAAGGCTGGGCCTCTAAAAGCCCTGCACTAATGACCCACACGGAGCATGGCCCGCTGGCCGCTCGCCCACAGAGGATGCCAATCACGGGCCGACTTCCACATCTGGTTGGAGCTAGAAGTCCAGGGTCAACGTCCCTCTTCCTGTCTCAGCCCAGTTAAAACCTACTGTTTTATCTTCTAAGTCTCTCCCCATCCCGCCCATTCTCGTCCAGCGGAATCACTCTCTTTTTCTCTGGTCCCCCTGGCAGCCCTGTGGCAGTTCTAATGGGCTGGGAAGCTTTGACACCTCAGCACCCCCATAATCCCCACTGAAGCCCCCCCCACCACGACATATACCTCCAGCTGCTACAAATAAACAAATTCAAAGTAAACAACATGGTGTAGTGGAAATGTTGCTTCAAGACAAGTTCTGGAGCTCCAGCTTCCAATCCGATTGTACCCCACGTTCCTCCTAAGTAAAAATTCTTTTGTTGTCACTGCTGCAGCCAGACCACTCTTTTCCAAAAGGAAATCTGATCATTCGTCTTGTTTTCTCACATATGCAACTTACAACCCTTGGATGCTATCAGGGAAAGACAAAACTCCTCAATTACCCGGCTCCCACTCTCTAGCCTCATCCCACACCACATCCCCCATCCTTACCTTTCCCAACCCCCCCACCACAGATTTTCATACTTGCTCTGCCCACAGTCCACACTGGTCTTCCCTCCCTTCGTAGCCCATCCTTCAACAATCAGACAACACACCTCTCCCTCAGGGAAGCCCTCCTCAATTCTTATCAGGTCAAATGCTCCAAAGAGAGGCTCTCACGACACCCGACTCCTTGCGTCCCAGCCATATGCCGTAAGTGTGCTTTACACTGGTTTGTGTGACTGTCAGGTTAATGCCAGGCTCTCCAAGGAGTATGTGCCAGAGGTGGAGGCTCACACCTGGTTTCACTCATCACTACACTGTGGCATCTAGCACAATGCCTGGGACAAGGCAAGTGCTCAGCACATTTGCTGAGTTGGCAAACAGATGAAGTGATGGATGGATGGACAGACAGATAAAGAGACAGACACACAATGGATAGACTGGTGGATGGGTGGGCCGGTAGATGGATGGACAAACAGTTGGGCAGACACATGGATAAAAGGAGGACCAGATGGCGGAAGAGCACATTTGCTCCCACGGCCAGCCCCTCTCCAGACCCCGTAATCTCAACTTTTCCCATCTCCTTGGGTATCGCTCTCCAACAACTATCCTGCCTTTTTTATTGTCAACCCTAAAAATCTCAGACCAATCAGTGACCGTGGGCAAGTTGCCTAGCCTGTGTGAGCTTGATTTTTATTCCCACTGTAAAAATAAGATAATTGTATCTATCTCAATAGGACTGTTTTGAAGGTCACATGAGATAATCCACATACAGTGCAGAGTACAACGCCTGGCACACTGTAAACTCCTGATGGATGTCAGATGCTCCCGTGGTTCTTTTCATCATCCATACTAGTACAAACCCTTCAGCCTTCCTTCAGCATTGCTCCTCCCTGAAAATCCTACTATCACAGCACCAAATGGCTACAAACAGAACCCTACCCTGGCTGACTTCACATGCTCAACACCCGCACCAGGCTTCCCTCTACAACTCTACTGAAACTGTGCTCCTGAAGGTCACCTAACCATCACAGGCCATCCTCTGCTGTGCTAAGATTCACGCAGACCTCTGTGACCTCTGGCCCTGTGTCCCACCCTGCCTTCAGCCCCCCTCCCCAGCTATGGTGCCAAGGTTGGCTCCTGATTTTATCTTCCAAAATTTCTGGCTGTTTCCTGCTCTGAGCCCTTCAGTGTGTCTTTTCCTTGTGCCTCCCCGTAAACGCTGACATAGCGTAAGGTTACACACAGTGTCCACTACTCCACACATTTCCTCTTAACAATGCCGTTATTCCTATAGCAATGCCATCTACTCCCTTCTCTGTGGATGGCACCCACCCCTCCAACACAGGCTGTGCTCTGCGTCCTTCTACTTCCTCAGACTTCCTGAAGGTACCTCAAAGCCAATACTTCCCAAATTAGCCCCATCAATCTGTCCTACTCCCTGCTACCTGATTTCAGTTAACGGCCCCGTCACTGTCCAGGACTAATACTAAAAATCCAGGCTCCTCCCACTAGTCGCCTTCAGAGCCCACCCGTTGCCAAGAATTATTTTCTGGGCCATAGTTCTGTGCCTGGATTATGAGCCCCGGAGGGTGTGTAGCTTGCCTTCCCCTCTCCTTTTTCTAGTCTCCACAAGACACTAGAGAATGCAACAGGAACGGAATAAATAACTTCTCAAACTGAAGAGAGGAGAGATCGTAAAGTAACAGGGAACTCTCGTACACTTCTGGTGGGAGCGTACGTTGGTGCGAGCACATGTTGGTGCGAGCACTTTGGAAGGTGATCTGACAAGATCTAGTAAAGCTGGGCATGATGACACCCCACGACCCAGAACTCCGCTCCCGGGTGTACGCCCCAGAGAAACTTTCCCACGTGTCCACAAGACGACTTGTCCAAGAATCTTCATAACAGCACTGAACACATCACAAGAATGAAAAACAGAAACAACTAAAGGTCCACCGCATCCATCAGGATCCTAGCAGGACATAACTGACATGCTCAACTTAGGATAATTTAATAATTATAATAACTCATTACTAATCAAAACCCTTTAAGGGATTATTTGGGATGGGTTGAGCGTACGGAAACTATAAAGGCCAGTTCAGTAGCCCAAAGATAGAAGAGCAGAGCTGTTGCCACTTCTAGATCTGAAAGGAAGGAGGAGGAAGTGATTACCCAAATCTGGGAAGATTGGCCCCAGCAGAAAGGCCATCTTGGAAGAAGCAGTGACCTTCAAGGGAGTAATTCAGCCAGCCCAAGGCAACCCAACAGGGAGTAAACTGGGGGCATAAATACCCTGACTTTTGCTTCTCCCTCTGATTTCGGTTGGGACCGCCCATTGGCTGAATCCAACGGCAAGCCAGAGGGCACCGGCTGTAACCCGTACAGGTCAACCTCCTGGAGCACAGAGCAGAAGGGAGAGAGTGGACTGGAGAGGCAAATGGAAGACATTCAGCGTATCCAGCAACGGAATATCTAAAATGTATACTCATAGAACAGAACATGGCCCTGCGGGAAAAGGAGTGAACTACAACTACATAAACCAATATGGATAAATCTCGGAAAATATCATGCTGGGCAAAAAAAAAAAAATGTGCAGAGGATGGCACCACATTTTCCAAGATCCACCATAGCTAGCTCTATTTCTGGCCCCACATGCCCTTCCAGAACCCTGCCACTCCCCGACTGACTCAGAGCTGCAAAGAAGGAAAAGAAGGAGGTTTTAGGAGAGACAATGACCGGAGAAACCTACTTGATACAGGGCAGCCAGAGAGAGCAGCTGTCCGAGGAGGGAACTGAACTTTACGTGAGGTGTGAAGGACGGGAAAGAGCCAGACCCAGCAGCACGGCTAACAGCTGCGGGAGCAGAGAAGTGCCAAGGCCCTGGGGAGGGCAAGCCTCTGGCTCTCTCAAATGCAGTTCCAGAAAACCACCGGGGCAGGAGAACCGGGCAAGGGAAAGAACGGCAAGCATGAAGCAAGAAAGGTGAGCACAGGCCAGATCCCGCAGGGCATCCGGGGCGACCTCACGGAGGTGACCAAGCTGGTGAAAGCCTGGGAGGGAATTCGACTCCAGGCAGCAGAGAGCCACAGACGGGGTCAAAGAACCAGGCACAAACTTCCTCTTGACTCGCTGCTGTAGGACTAACACGCGCTCGGCACCTGGCCTTGGCCGGACGCTGGGTTACAGCAATCCTTTTAATCTCTTGAGGCTTCCCCATGAGGTAAGTATGAACAAACCCATTTTTACAGCAAGGCCGATTATCTAAATCCAAAGTCCAAGCGCTAAACCCTCACCTGCCTCCAGGCTGCCCTCCCTCTCTTGTCCTAAAGGGTGGATGACTCATTGTAGTAAATAACCGTGATTATGGAGTATATAACACATCGCGGTGAATGAGCACAATACAAACAACCGCCCTAACACGCACCGCCCGCGCATTGAGAGCCATCAGCACCTCACTGCTGAGATGCCCGTTTTACAGATGGGGAAACTGAGGCCAAGCCTTGCAGAGCCACGTGTCCAAGGCGGAGGGGGAGGGGACGTGGCAGCCGAGGCTAATTGCAGGGCCCACGCTGCTATGAACCAGGCTGTGCTGCCTTCCTCTCTCCTCTCAGGGAAGTTGGGTCCAGCCGGCGAGGCTCCAGGGCGGGATGCCCCGCGGGACACTCCGCTCCACGGCGCCCCCAGGGAGCCCCGCGCGCGGGCGGTACGGCCGCTATCGTGGTCCCCAGCCCCGGGTGCAGGCCCTGAAGGGGTCCGGCGGGAGGCGCGCGCAAGCAGCCCAGGTTCCCCCGGCGGGAGGAAGGTTCCGCAGCCCTGAAGTCATCCCCTCCCCGGGCGCGGGGCCGGCGGTACCTGAGGGAAACGCGTCCAGGGTCCTGCCCCGGGCTCTGTGGAAAACACCCCTAGCCTCCGCAGTCGACATGGCGAGCGAGTCTGGCCTCGCCAGGGGACCCTGCGTGGGAAGGAGGAGCGCGAGTCCACGCAGCCCAACCGTCCGGCCCGGTCTACCCCGCTCGGCGCGGCGCCCTCTGCTCGGGGCGGGTGGGGTCGACCGCTCGGGGCGCCGCTAGTGCTGCCTGGCCGGGGCGGCCGCGGGAGCGGCCCCTCTGGGATCGACTGGGACGCCTGGCGAGTGCAGGCCCCGCTCTGGAGCCACGTGCGCGCGCAGAGGGTGCAGGGCTGGGGCAGCCCTCCCCTAAAAGTGGGGTTGCCAGGGTTACCAGTGAGCGTCCAGGATGCCCTGTTAAACAGGAATTTCAGATAGGCAACGTCTGATGGTTTAAGATAAGTATATCCCATGCAATATATGGGATATACTTATGCTAAAAAAATTTTTTTTTTTTTTTCGTTATCTGAAATTCCACTTTAACTGGGGGCCTGGATTTTAGCTGGGAACCCTACCTTGAGGCCAAAAGGACCAGACCCTGTCTCAGGACAGTCTTCTAAACCACAGCTGTGATCTGTGACACTTGATCCCCAGGCTTTGCAGCTTCCCAGCCAGAATCACCGTCATTCCATTATTATCATTATCCCTCACTAAGCATCACACACCCCTCTAAGTTTTGCATGCAGCTCACTTAATCCACACCACAGCCCTAGAAGATGGTGCCGTCATCAGCCACATTTGTCAGATGGGGAAACTGATGCTCAGAGAGGTGGAGCAGTTTGCACAAGGTGACACACTTCTAGAGGGAAGCTGCAACCCACCCAATCTAGGATCTGTCCAGCAAAAAGCTGTTGCACAGAACTATTAAACTGGCATTTGTCTAGCTTGCTCAAAATACAAATTTCAGGGTGGACCTACTGAATCTAAATCTGCAGGTCTGTTTTTAACTCCCCCAGGAGTTCTTATGATCTGCCAAATTTGGGAAATTCTCTTTTTAACTAGCTGCCTACATCTGGACCCTGTTTGGGTAGCTAAAATGACCAGGATCGCTATCCTCTAATCTTAGGCAAGAGGCAGGAAATCACAGTGGTTATGAACCTAAGTGCCTTGGAGTTCTGGAGTCAGACTGCCTGTTACTAATTGCTGGTGGTACGATCTTGAAAATGACTTCATTTCTCCATGTGTCAGTTTCCTATCTGTTTAATGGGAACAATAGCAGTATCTAGGTCATAGAGTTGCTTAAATGAGTTGGTGCATCAGGGGCCGGGCCCTGGCCGAGTGGTTAAGTTCTCGCACTCTGCTTTGGTGGCCCAGGGTTTCGCCAGTTCGAATCCTGGGTGTGGACATGGCACTGCTCGTCAAGCCACGCTGAGGCGGCGTCCCACATGCCACAACTAGAAGGACCCACAACTAAAAATACACAACCATGTACCTGGGGGGCCTTTGGGAGAAAAAGGAAACATTAAAAAAATTTTAAAAAAAAAGAGTTGGTGCATCAAATTGCTTAAACCAATAGGTCTTACTGCAAATGGTAAGTTCTCAAGGAATATTAGCCATTATTATTAGCATTGTTGCTAATCATTCTATCCCCATTGCCTGCATAAGGCAGGGCCCAGCAGAGGGCTATCAGGAAACGTTCGAGGAGGGAATCAGTAAATGAGAATCCAAAGTCCTGATGGTGGCCTCAAGGCCCTGCAAGTTCCAGGCCTCGCTGACCTCTCACCCACTAACTTTCCAGCCGCAGTCTTTTTCCAGTTCCTTAAATGTGCCAATCCATTTCGCTCTTCGTATGTGCAGTTCCTTCTGCTTAGAATGTTTGTGCTCATTTAAATATCAAGGCCCCTGTTGAGTGGCCAGCCCGGTGGCGCAGCGTTAAGTTAAGTTCACAGGTTCTACTTCAGCTGCCTGGGGTTCGCTGGTTCGGATCTGGGTGTGGACGTGGCACCGCTTGTCAAGCCACGCTGTGGTAGGCATCTCACATATAAAGTAGAGGAGGATGGGCACAAATGTTAGCTCAGAACCAGTCGTCCTCAGCAAAAAAGGGAAGATTGGCAGCAGATGTTAGCTCAGGGCTAATCTTCCTCAAAAATAAATAAATAAATAAATCTCAAGGCCTCTGTTGAAATCACACTTCCCTGGAGGAGCCTTCCCCTCACACTTGCTCATACTCTTCAGGTCTGAACTGGGTCTCCCTCATTCTGTTTACAGGCCTCTGTTCTTGACCTGCACCGCCCTTTGTGCTGCTGGTAATTATGTTTACATGTGTAACTGTTTGTTTCCTGTTATCTTTCTCAATGCAACCGGGAGGTCCATGAGGGCAGCTACCTTGACTGTGTTGTTCATCAAGCAGGGTGTTTGAGGCATAGACTCAAGTGGCTGTTGCATGAATAAATAAATGGATTATGACTATTTTGGCAAGATAACCCCATTTTGAACCCGGGCAGTGGTTGGGCATAGCTCTATTGGCCATGATAGGAACTTCAGAACTACACGGGTGCTACTGGGTGATAGTAATGGCTGTGACTACACCCCGTCTACCACTGGTCCAGCAACTTCTTCGCCTCATTGCCTGCCCCATCCTCTCCTCATCACTGTGCAGGTCAGTGTTCCACTCTCCACTGACTGGGCTCTTTCAACCTACATACTCTTCTTTTCAGCTCTCTGCTTGGCAGACAAGCAGCACAAAAAGAGCATCTTCCTGGGCAGCAGGCTTAGCTGTTCAGTCCACTTCCCAACTGTGTGAACTTCGGGACGTCACTTGATCTTTCTGAGCTCCAGCTTCTTCATCTAAAATGAGATAATCATAGCACCAACCTTGTCTGGTTTTTGTAAGGAGTTGATGAAGCTCCAGACAGAGTTTCTGGATCATACTAAGTGCTTGATACATTTTTGCTGTAGTTGATATTGTTAATATTGTTGTTGTTGGGATACCCATCAACTTATTCTTTTCTAGTCAAAATTCTATTCCTCTTTCAAGATTCTGTTCAGGTGTCACCTATTATATCAGCCAGGTGGCATTTCATAGCAAATAACTAAAAGTCAATTCAAACTGGTTTAATCAGAAAAAAGAAATCCATTGGCATATATAAATTAAAATTCTCAGGCAGCTTCAGGTGAGGTTTGATCCAGCTGTCCATAGGATGTTAAAGAAGCCAACTTCTCTCCCCCTATCCTCCCTGCCTTTTGTATTTGGCTTTATCTTCAGTCTCCACAGAGAGGACTCCCTCTCATCACTTAGAAGCTCCAGGCTCCCCCTTCACGGAAGCAGAATGGCTACAACGGTTCCAGACCACACCCTCATAAGACCCCACCTAGTGGGGAGAAGGAGGAAGTCTGTATTTCTCAGAAGCTCCAGCAAACATCCCTTTGCCTCACCGCCATGCCAGTTTGGATACATGCTCCTCTCTGAAGCAAAGTCAGAAGGGTAAATGGCATGTTTAGACTGACTTAAGCTATAGGGCCGCCCCTGGAGAAGGAGTCGTATCGGTGTCATCCAACCACACACCTGAGGATGGAGAGCATAGTGCTCTTAAAACAAGATCTGGACACCATTGCCCTGAGAAAAGGAGAATGGCTAATTAAAAAAAAAGAGCCAATGGATAATCTTCTACATTCCCCATGCACAAGTGAGGGATGGGAGGGGAGAGCATCTCGACTAGTGATTATCATGCCCCCTCCCCCTCCTTTAAAAAAGCCCTTTTTCTCAGCACTATTCACAATAGCCAAGACATGGAAGCAACCCAAGTACCCTTCGGCTGATGATTGGATAACAAAGATGTGGTATATATACACAATGGAATACTACTCAGCCAGAAAAAGAGACAAATTCATCCCATTTGCAATAACATGGAAGGACCTGGAGGGAATTATGCTAAACGAAATAAGCCACTCTGAGAAAGACAAACACCAGATGATTTCACTCATATGTGGAATATAAACAAATACATGGACAAAGAAAACAGTTCAGTGTTTACCAGGAGAAGGGGGTCGGGTTGGGGGGAGGTGCACAGGGGCTGAAGGGGAGCACCTATGTGGTGACAGATAAGAAATAACGTACAACCGAAATCTCACATCAATGTAAACTATTATGAACTCAATAATAATAATAATAAAAAAGCCCTTTTTCTTCCATCTTACCCCTTGCAACAACTAATCCAAACATGCTCTTATTTAGCGATGTGGGTGTATTTTTAAGAACATCGGTCGTTGCCCTGGGCGGTATTATGGCCTCGCCCGCCCCCCCCCCCCCGACGCAGGCAGAACAATTTGTGCTGACGCTCACAGGCCCTGGGCAGCGGAGCGTTTAGAGTTCCGGCTGCTCCTTAGGGATCTCTGCCTCCTCACCAGCAGGCTGGGAGCCGGCCCTTCTCGCTGTTTCTGGCGTCTGCCTCCAGCAAGTCCTCCCGTTTCTCTACCTCTTCCCTCATTTCCCGTCTGCCCAGCTTTGTGTGAAACCAGACGACAAAGGGTGTTCGGATTAAGAGCCAGGTTAGTTTACAGATTGGAGCCAGTAGACTTGGCCCAAGCACCTGAGGCCTCATTTAGAGAAAGTGCTTGGACTTGACTTCAATGGGCATAGTCCTTCCTAGTTAGACTGAGTGATGGTTAATTTTATGCGTCAACTTGGCTGGCCCCCGGCACCCAGATACTTGGTCAAACACTCTGGATGTTTCGGTGAGGATTTTTTTTTGGATGAGATTTACGTTTAAATCAGTGGACTTTCACGAAAGTCCATAATGTGGGTGGGCCTCGTCCAATCAGTTGAAGGTCTGATAGACGCAAAGATGACCTCCCCCAAGCAAGAGGGAATTCAGCCAGCAGGTGTCCTTTGGATTTGAACTGCAGCATTGGCTCTTCCTGGGTCTCCAGCCTGCTGGTCCACTTGGCAGATTTTGGACTGGCCAGCCTTCCTAATTGCATGAGCCAGTTCCTTAAAATAAATCTCTTTCTAGCTGTCTACACATCCTATTGTAGCTGTTCCTTTGGAGAAACCTGACTAATATAGGCTATCAGAGGTCTTCTTTGGAAGTGTTAGAGTCCCAAGGTTGAGCTCATAATTCAAATTGGTATATTACTCTGGAATGCAGAATGGTATCCTGCCGCAGCACCTTTGTGGTATATGGAAATATGAAAGCACAAGTTAATTCCTAAGCAATATGAGCACCAGCTGCCCCTCCCCTG